CAAAAAGCAGAAAACAGTGGCACTGCTGTGATACAGTTTTAACTTTCTGACTCATCACACCCTTTGGATCAACATCATCAACAAACAGGCTTCTTTCCTCCCTTGATCAAAACACATGATACAGTTGATGAGCCAAACTTTAACATTTTCCTTTAGACAACTGAGAGGGGAAATGTCACTGCCCTTTTTCAAAACACACACACACTGGCACAAAACAACAGTGAGGCATCTTACAGACAGGAAGTGGAATTACACAAAAACACTGCCCCTTAATATAAAACAAGAGTCAATGCTGAATCAGGCTAACTATCTGAGTAGGCATGGGCTGGACTTTTCACATCATGGTATACCATGAAACCAACCAGTTTCACAGTATAATCCATGTGAATAGTCTTAATAATAATGTAATGATATGTGTGGTGTCACAAGTGGAAAATGCTATTCTATTCTTACCCCTGCCCATTAGTGAGGTGGAGAGAGTCGGTACTGCCAGGTTTCTTTGAGTAAAGGCTAATTTATACTTTAACAAGATCTAAGACAGATAATCAGTGTTTATGTTATTATGGGGGTCTTTGTCTCAGAGCGCTCATGGTTAGAAGGAAAACGAGGGATAAACCAGAATTTCTGCCCCTGCCTTCCTACAGTACTCCCCATGTAGCACATCTCACATGCATAGCTAATTATAAAAACACAGTAATAGCAGGATAGGTAGAGGGTTTTTTTTTTCACTCACAGGTTCAGATGTGAGCAAGGCAAGTTCAGTCTGTTGTTCTAATAAATGTGGGCGATGGATGAAAAGAGGCACTTCTTATTTTTGTAGGTCTACTACCTGTTTTGGGGAACTCCTCCACCGGATCACCAGTTAAATTCAGCACACACCAACGCACACCACGCCAATCTCAGTGCCAGAGAGACTATCAGTGACACTCAGAGTTTTGGGGAGCTCATATGCCGCTAGTTATAAAATGGGAAAAGTAATTCGCTAATACAAAAACTGGCTTCTAGTGGACCACTTTAAATGAAGTGTTGTTCAGCATAAACAAACACCCACAAAGTTCTGACCGCATAGGACAGGGTGTCAGTGAGAAATAACAGACGGAAGCTACGCAATTTTCATCACACAACAGCATCAACAAGATGTGCAACTTGAAGTATAAGCCAGCCTTAAGCATCTCGGACAGCTTCAGTTGGATCACCAACACCAATTACAAAGAGTGCACACAGAGGATTTCTGCAAAAACTAGAGTTGTCACCTTCTTGAAGGGAAGTGTGGCGATCGCCCTAACATTAAATTTAAGACTTTTTAATGCCCCTTGGAATAAAATTAAAGATAAACTTGACAATAACCACAGATGGAAAAAACACAGTTAGCAAAAATTTTTACCTAAATGTTTATATTAACATAAAACATGACTTTTAAATCCAGTGTAAAAGTTCCAACTTTCCAGAGTTAAAGAAAAGGTAAAAAGGCACAACTGGCAGATCACTTTCAAACACTTATTGTATTACATTCATGATGTTTTTTGTCTCAATAGTCATTAACCATTGTCGTAACTCTTCTTCACTGGTGTCCCTGTTGATGATATCAGGGATGGGGGTGAAAGCCTTGTAGAGACGAGAGAATCGGCAGAACTAGGAAATACCTGCTGTTTTTGGCAGCTTGATTTTGAGGCTTTGTGTTTCAAGCTGAACATATACCACTCCACTGATGATTCCCATTGTTCCCAGTTTGAATTAGATTCAATTCGGTTCATTTACATAGCACCAAGCCACAACACTCTCAGGGTACTGTACACAAAAAACATTCTAAGGAAATCAGCAGATAACGCTGAATCACTTTGTCACAGTCTCCCATCTTGAGCAGAACTTTGGCAATACTGGAGAGGAAAAACTCTCTTCTATCAGAAAGAAACCTCCTGCAGAACCTGGCAAAACAATTTGAAACATTTCTTAAATTAAATTCACTGTGCCACGTACAAATTCCCTAGTAATGGTTTCAGCCATGTGGAAAAGTCTTGGCTGCGCAGACAATTTTTGTTGAATTGACACTTTCCCATGTGGTCCAAAGTAAAAAGACATGTAAATACATGTCTCAATGCATTTTAAGTCTGATTTGAAACTGATCACTATGGTAACGGGGTAGCGCGTGGTCATGCAAACATACGTAAAGCCGACGTTAGGTGAAGGGGAGGGGAGGATGTGGCCCACATGGCCCAGCTGGGATATGTACTCACGAAGACCCAGCCCATGAATTGAGATACATTCAACGTTTCCAGGTCTGTGCTCTGTCCTGCCCCCGTCATTTCTGTCCAATAGGAGCAATGTCCGTCACCTGCGTGGCTTTCTTTATAAGTTATAGTCCACTTGCAAAAAGAACAATGTGAATGCAAATCTCGCCAAATGAAAAAATAAAGTCCACTATTTGGTCCGAACCAAACAACAAGTAGACCAAAAGACTTTCCTGGTGTGAATACGCCTTATACTAACTCCCTCTACAGCTTTGAACATGCAGACTTCACATGCTGCATGCTTCTGACAACACTGACTGGTGGCAGGATGGTGTGGCTGTGGCAGAGTGGTGAATGCTGATGCCTCACCGTTTGCACACGGTTTGCTCTAAAGCACACATACATGATCTGATCTGAACCACATTTTGTGTGCACCATCAGGGAGACCTTCTCAACACGTTGGTGTAGTCGTTTGACAAGATCACTTCAACCCCCATCAGTCTGTTAATTTTATGAGATTTAAATAATGTGATGATTCCAACAAAACTACTATCAGTTAGTCACTACTGAATGGAGACGGGGGACATCAGCGATGGCGTCGAGTTTTATCTTGTTATTCTTGTCAGAAATCAAACGAGCTAGTATAGCAAAAAAAACAAGCAAGTACAGCTTCAAATATTGCCTTCAAGCTAATTTTCTTGTTTTATGATATTAATGATATTAATATATTGATATTTTGCCAATTTCAATTTATTTTTGCTTCTGTTTAGCCTCGTCAGAGTTACTAGGCAACTGGACATAAACCAGGGTAAGGGTGGGAATAAAAGTAGAGGACTAGACTGTCCAAATTCACAGCCACTCTTTTTCTGGTTCTCGCGGTCTTCCAAGGACCAGGCCCACCTAGACCCTGAATTTGGACAGAGCCCTATTGCTACATGAACGACATGCATCTGGTGTGATAGTCCTGGCCACAAACACATCTCTGTTTTATTGGTTCCATAATCAGGACTGTGTGATGTTACAGCGAGAGGCATTATTACAAAAGATAAATGTTGCCAGTTATTTTAATATCTGAGACCAATTGAAATCATAATTTCAATCATAATTTTATACTTTGTTTTTTTTAAAGATTTTTTATTATTGCTTTGCCCTCTTCT